AGACGGTACAACACCAACTCAAAAAAGCAACACTAATGATGATGAATAGTAGGCTCTAAATGAATCGGGGCACCGGAGGGTTGCAACCACACACACACCCATGTATATAGGTTCTCGGTTGAAGCCACTGAAACCTGCGGAACCCACTCATTTTTGGACTATAGGCACGCATGAACATAAAAAGCTGATCCTCAATAGCACAAGACTTGCAACTGCTCCATTACTCGCTAAATAAAAACTTTTTCTTATTTAAATATATTATTTTGCAAATAACTGGCTGTTCTAATTACTTTTATTCTTTTTTATTGTTTGTTTGGTTTTGCAAATCAACGTCTCTTCCCCCCCCCCCCTAATTTACCATTTTTTCATTAAAACCCGGTTTATTTCACTCAAATTTAAACTCTCTTTTTTTTTTTTTTCCTATAAACACGTATGCGTAATGTCTATAAATCAAAATGTAGTTTCATAATTTCATCCAAATATTAATTCTTTTTAGTTGAAATGTTCATAAGAAAAAAATTAAAAATAGGGAGACTTTGGAAAAACACAAAGGAGAGAGAAATTTTATAAAGGAAGCCAAAATGGACAAAATTGCCCTTTTTTATTTTTGGATTTCCTAAGGAATCATTTACATTTGCATGTCTTTGATTTGAAAGTTGAGAGGTTTTTCTGTCTTTTTTGAAAAAGCTTTGGCTTTTTCCAAAAGTGAATTTTTTTTGTTGCTAAAACCTAAATTTACTTTAAAAATATATATAAATGAAAAAAAAAGGACATAAATCAATTTTCATTATTAAAAAAAAAAAATTAGAGTCCAAATATAGAGCCTACCACTATTGTTGGAAATATACTTTTAGAACTCCGAATATTCCTTTTGAGCTCTAAAAGTAAAAGGCGCTTTACCCACTTGGGTTGCCCTTAGAAATTTCATTCTTCTTTTTCCAGAATAGCACATACAACATACTCTGCAGAGAAATATAGATACACAATCCTAAAAATGGTACGTTCTCTCTTTTAATACTAGGCATTCGCCTAAAAGCTTAATAAAACCAAGGCAAACTATCTGGAGCGCGTACATGCGCGTCTGTTAGAGCATCTCCATCCACAATGGCTAAGTCTAAGGCAAGGGCAAGCAAGGGCTGTCACTATTCACGTGAATAGTGTCAGCCTTTGCATTTGTGGTTCCACCCACAAGGGCAAAGTCTAGGGCAAGTCTAAGGCAATTACTATTCATTGTACTTTATTTCCAA